GTGTGTGTGTGTGTGTGTGTGTGTGTGTGTGTGTGTGTGTGTGTGTGTGTGTTTAGATGAAGTTTCACTCTGTCGCCTGGGCTGGAGTGCAGTGGAGCCATCTAGGCTCACTGCAACCTCCACCTCCTGGGTTCAAGCAATTCTCCTGCCTCAGCTTCCCAAGTAGCTGGGATTACAGGTGCCTATTGCTATGCCCAGCTAATTTTTTTTATTTTTAGTAAAGACAGGGTTTCTCCATGTTGGCCAGGCTGGTCTTGAACTCCTGACCTTGTGATTTGCCCACCTCGGCCTCCCAAAGTGCTGGGATTACAGGTGTGAGCTGCCACACCCAGCTGATATTTGTATTTTTTAGTAGAGATGGGGTTTCACCATGTTGGCCAGGCTGGATGTGGCTTTTTAATCAGAATTATTCCATGCCTTCAAATAAACCAAAAGATGAGAATGAAGTCATGCAATCTGTCTTCTAGAGCAATGGTTCCCAAACTTTGACTTGCTTTAGAATCACCTGAAGAGCTTGTCAAAGGGCAGATGCATTGGTTGATACTATCACTCCCTTTTACCCACGAGGACACTTTGGTAAGGTGAGGTTACATCATGGATATGAAATACCGAAATACGCAGTTAGTGGTTGACAAAGACTGGATATGAGCTCAGACCTTTTTATCTGTTAAGACAGAGTCTTGCCGTCACCCAGGCTGGAGTGCAGAAGAGTGATCTTAGCTCACTGCAACCTCTACCTCCCAGGTTCAAGCCATTCTCGCTTCTCAGTCTCCTGAGTAGCTAAGATTACAGGTGTGTGCCCACCACCACACCTGGCTAATTTTTGTATTTTTAGTAGAGACGGGATTTCACCATGTTGGTTAGGCTGGTCTCAACTCCTGGCCTCAAGTGATCCACTCACGTTGGCCTGCCAAAGTACTGGGATTGACCACAGGCTTGAGCCACCGTGACCAGCCTCATCTTCTGACTGTTTTTTAGAGTCAAGGTCTCATTCTGTCACTCAGGCTGGAGTGCAGTGGTGTGATCACAGTTCACTGCAAACGTGAACTTCTAGACTCAAGCTATCTTCCCACCTCAGTTTCCCAATTAGCTAGAACTACAGGTATGCACACCACGCCTGGTTAATTTTTAACATTTTTTGTTGTTGACATGGGGTCTTGCTATGTTGCCTAAGATGGCCTTGAACTCCTGGCCTTAAGAGATCTTCCTGACTCAGCCTCTCAAAATGCTAAGATAACAGGCATGAACCACCACACCTGGCCAGAACTAGTAATTCTTTCTTTTTTTTCTCTCTGAGACATTTATTCAAACTGATATGTTCAAAACCAAACTCTATTTTAAATATATTAATTTTAATTATTTAAGTAACACATTAAATGCATTGGCCTTGTTAAAATTAACACGTGATATATCAATCTGTCCCTTTTACTGTGACTGCCATTTTAGTCCTCTTCAGCCTTCTCCAGAAGTAACTACAGAGCCTGTAATCCCAGCCCTTTGGGAGGCCAAGACAGGTGGATTACTTGAGGTCAGGAGTTAGAGACTAGCCTGACCTAGTCACCATCACTAGAGATGGTGAAACCCCGTCTCTACTAAAAATTCAAAAATTAGCTGCGCATGGTGGCACGCACCTGTAATCCCAGCTACTGAGAAGGCTGAGTCAGGAGAATCTCTTGAACCCTGGAAAAGATTGCAGTGAGCCGAGATTGTGTCGATGCACTCCAGGCTGTGTGACAGAGTGAGATTCCATTTCAAAAAAAAAAAAAGTAGCTTGTTTTTTAACAACTGATGTACGATTAACAAAAAAAAAAAAAAAAAAGGAAAGGAAAGAGAAAGAGAGAAAAAGAAAGGGGGAAAGAGAGAAAGGGAGGAAGAAAGCAAGAAAATTTTGGTATGATAAACAGTGTACAGTATGAGAAAATTCGCAATATTTTTGAATCGCACAGGTATGTTCATTTTTATTACAGGTTATTCATGTGTGGATTATTGAGAAAGTACAGAGACTAATGAAGAGCTGGCTACCCATCAGTCAACAATATAAAATTCACATAATTCACAATCCTTGCTTTAGGTCTTTTTATTGCAATAAGTAATAAATATTTGTATTGCAATAAAGTGTGCATTTAAGGCTGGGCATGGTGACTCACATCTATAATCTGAGCACTTTGGGAGGCTGGGGCAGGTGGATCACCTGACGTCAGGTGTTCGAAACCAGCCTGACCAATATGGCGAAACCCCGTCTCTACTAAAAATACAAAAAAAAAAAAAAATTAGCCGGGTGGGGAGGCGTGTGGCTGTAATCACAGCTACTCAGGAGGCTGAGACAGGAGAATCACTTGAACCCGGAGGCAGAGGTAGAGGTTGCAGTGAGCCGAGATTGCACCGCTGCACTCCAAGCTGGGCAACAAAGTGAGACTCCATCTCAAAAAGAAAAAAAAAGTGTGTATTTGAAAACCCTTACTTCACGTACATGCACAATCTTGATTTCCTTCCTTCCCAAGGGGAACCAGTACACACACTTGATCTATATTATTCTCCCATACCTTTCGTTGCATTTGGTATTACTCTTCCAAATACTAATAATTGCATTGTGTTGCATTTTAAAAGCTTTATATATCCAGGCACTGTGGCTCACGTCTCTAGTCCCGGTCCCTTTGGGAGGCTGAGGCGGGAGTACAGAGGCCTGGAGTATAAGACCAGCCTGGGCAACATAGTGACAACCCATGTCTACAAAAAATTTTGAAATGGCCGGGCATGGTGGCTCATGCCTATAATCCCAGCACTTTGGGAGGCCAAGGCGGGCAGCTCACCTGAGGTTGGGAGTTTGAGACCAGCCTGACCGACATGAAGAAGCCCTGTCTCTACTAAAAATACAAACTTAGCCAGACGTGGTGGCACATGCCTATAATCCCAGCTACCTGGGGGGCTGAGGCAGGAGAATTGCTTGAACCCAGGAGATGGAGGTTTCAGTGAGCCGAGAGCATGCCATTGCACTCCAGCCTGGGCAACAAGAGTGAAACTCCATCTTAACTAAATAAATTAATAAAAAATTGCAAATGGCATGTACCTGTAGTCCCAACTACTCAGGAGGCTGAGGCCGGAGGATTGCTTGATCCCAAGAATTCAAGACTGCAGTGAGCGATGATCGAGTCACCATACTCCTACGAGGCAACAGAGTGAGAGCTTGTCTCCAAAAAAACAAAACCACCAGCCCTCATTTCCAAAGCGTTAATTAACTCAAGGGCGTTAGGTTATCTGATTGGCTTCCACGAGAATGGTGCTCAACCTCTCACGTGGATATTGCAGAGGATGATCTATGCTCAGGAAGTGCAGACAGACTAGAGTCCTGGTCCAAAAGGATCATCCCTACGAGGAGACTGTGATGCAGCTTCCTAGCTGGGTGAGAGACGTTCAGTGAGGTGGTTACAGTCTGACTTGCTGAAGTATCTTATATCCCTGGGACCTCAATCTCCACCGCTCCTCATTACCCTGGCGATTTTACCTTTGTTCTGATCCCAGGAGTGTACATCCTTAAAGACCAAGATGAGAGAAGTCAGGAATTCCGGATGGCCGAGTCCCTGTCCCCGGAGGCCAGGTGTACACCATCCGCTTCTCTCCATTGTGTCTGTTCTCCTCCACTTCATGAAACTTGCTCCCACAACACACACCATTCATCTAGTAAAAAGGACTTTGATCTGAGGAATGTGACTTCTCTTCATTGTCAGGCCCAGAGAGACATTAAAATGAGACAGCAACCACAACCCTCCCCCCTCCTTTGAACTATGTATTCATCTAATAAAACTGCTTGTTGTTGG